GCAGAAGAATCATTTGAACCTGGGAGGCAGAGGTTGTAGTGAGCTAAGATCGTGCCTCTGCACTTCAGCCTGGGTTATAGAGCAAGACTCTGTCTCAAAAAAATAAACAAACAAACAACAACAACAAAACAAGAAGAAGAAAAGAAAAAGTGTGAGCTGCTAAGCTAGGTAATTCTGGCTCGAGATCCCATGATACTGCAGACACCACACCAGCAAAGGCCCTAGTCCTCTGGCACTGGAGGACCCACTTGGAAGGTGGATCACTCACATGGCTCTTGGCAGGAGACCTCAGTTCTTCCCCACATAGACCTCCCTATAGGACTGCTTGAGTGTCCCATTTGCCAAATGATCTAAATATGCTCCAGTTTTGATTGGCTGCTCTGCAATGTGGGCCGTTATCTGGCAGGTTCAGTGGTGCCTTGTAGAGGGGAGATCCCATAGCACCGAGGCAGGAGCAAAAGGCCTCAGCCTATTTCCAAATAAATAGCAAAGAAGGAAGTAACTAGAAATATAACCAGAGTCGTTATTAGTTATTCATATGTGATATTATTCATAGGTGATCTTAATTCTTTGACTAATGCCTCTCAGCTTGGAAGTGTGAACCTGGGGTGACATTGTGAAATGAATGACATTAAGGCAAGATGCTGTAAGCCCTCTGTGACACCCGCATAAGGGCTGCTGGAGGGCGCCCCAGCTGTGTGGCAGCGCCAGGGCTGGGAAAGCCCCAGTGTTTAGTCAGCTAGGGAAGGAGACATCTCCTTCCTGGGAAAGTTAGGAGAAAACTCCACTTCTCCAAGCTCTTGCGGTAGGCCTGACGGCTGTCAGGTACACCCGCAGACATCTGGGGGCTTAATTGTCTCTATGTGGTGCTGTGCTTCGGTGGTCACGTTCCCTGTGTACTCTCATGTTCTGCTTCTGCACCTGGCTCCTTTTTTCTTAGAAGATATAATCAGTAATAGTAATATAATGTTTTAGTTCTTTATTGATAAGTATGGAAAAAGTGCTGATGCATTATGCTCCTTATCTCACTTCAGGTGCCAGAAATTCCTGAGCCCCTACCTGAATGACAGGCGATGTACTTAACCCTATCACTGCCACGCCCTGTCTACCCTGTCCCCAGTCTCTGGCCTCTAAGACCGCGCCCTACCTACCCTGCCCCCAGATTTCCAATTCAATAAAAGTGAGAGCATCCCGGCATTCGGGGCCACTGCTGGTCTCCGCGGCGATTTGGGTAACAGTGGACCCCTGGGCCCAAACTCTCTTTTCTCTGTCTCTGTGTCTTGTGTCTTTCATTTCTACAATTTCTCGTCTCCGCCCCAGGCGGGGGCGGCTCACAGAACCCTGTAGGGCTGGACCCTATAGTGCTTGAAGTGTCAGTACCTGCTGCAAGGATGTTATACGGAACCTTTGGCAGGCTGCTACAGATGAATAATAATATAAACCTGTGCTAGTTATTTATTACGTCCCAGCTCCATATTTATCCTTCATTGCCTGCTCAGTGAAATGCTTCTGGCCCTTTAGTTTTTCCTTTACCAGCTGGCATGATCTTAAGCTTTGTCAGTAGAGGGCGCTGGAGAGACATTGCCGGAGAATGGAGTTTCCCTTTCTGCTTCCGGCTTCCGGTGTGTTCTCTCCAGGCTCCGGCCTGATGGGTGACTTCTTCCCAGTCTGGCTTCCGCAGCACACCGGGCTTTGCCAGCACCCAGCTCCCGCAGCATGGGCAGCTCCTGTGACAGCAGGTGCCCACAACCTGCACAACCTCCAGTGCCTGCCTGCTAGCAGCTTTCTCCGCCACCCTCTTCAGGTAGTTCTGTAGCAGAGCATCTCATGAGACACCTCCCTGTGAGCAGCTTTTTCCACCATTGAGGATGGATTTCCAGCAAGTTCTGCCCATGTGGTACCACAGCCACTTCTCTGCCATGCCGTGAACTGCAGATGTGCCTTCTTCAAGGTCTGGATATAAGCCCAGGGCCAGAGAAACCTCTTGCCTGAGTGTTCAAACTCAGGCCAGAATGTATGGTTGCTGCTATCTGCTATGACTAAATAGAATCCTCTTTACTTCTTACCAGCCAAACCCTTGAAAATGCCAAGCTCTTTCTTTTTTTTTTTTCCTCTTTTTCTCCTTTTTTTTTTTTTTTTTTTTTTTTTTTTTTTTTTTTTTTTCTCAAGTACAATTT